AACTGTGTGAACATTGTGAACAGTGTAAACTCCCTTCTCTACTTTTAAACGAGTTAATAGCAGTATTGGCTTTAGATCAGTTAATATACAGACAGTACATGGTTAAATCGATAATACTGACCATACTAATCACTGTTTTGAGAAGGTAATCATCAACATTAGAGTTATTAATAACATTGGCCATTGGCTTGTTGCTAAGCTACTTGATATTGTCCTCTGTTGTTGTTGTGCTGTAATTTCAGTCCAAAATGCTGCATGAATGTTTAAAGTTCACTATAGTAGAATAGTACCAGTAGCCACTCAGGCCTGTAACTGTAAAAGTGTGGGTTAAAGTATCTTTTTTATGAGCTTTATGTTCTCTGACAGAGCAAACAAAATCACTCTTTTGTGGAGGCGTCCAGGTTTTTTCCCCACTTTGCTCATTGAACATGCTGAGGAGGGAAATTACGTTAATACAAAATGCAAATTACAACTGATAATAGTTTCAACAGATTGAGTGTGGTCAGACGGAGGAACAACAGAGGGATTTCACTGAACATGAAATTTACCTCACAGGCAGCAGAAGGCCCTAAATATTACAGACTGCTCCTTTAACACTCAGCTGCTCATTGTACTGTATTATATTTCACTTGTAAGTCTCTTTGCATAGAAAATATAAATGCAAGTATATCCATCCTTGAGAATGTACACTAAAAGTCAAAAACATTAATAGCAGGCACAGCTGCACTCGAGCAATCATTATCAACAAGCATAATGACGAATTTAAAGTTGATCACTTACAATCCTACCGTCTCCTGAGCCCAAGTCAGCAAGATTCCCAGAGCGGCCCTTCAGCAGAGTCATAACGTTACACACTTGACGTTTACTGGCTGGTATATAAGGCACCTAAATGAACACAAATAGCCATCAAGAACATCAGTGACATACTGTGCTGACTTTCATTTTGTTTGTGCTGCTGCTTTCCTAAACTAACCTGTAGTTTCAGAGGCACTCTGCGAAACCCAGGCATCAGAATCCCTGCCCACATGGCATAGACGGCCAGTCCTGTCCCCGCCGTCAGCTGTAACAAACCCCATCCCCCGAGCCGCTTTTCTTTAAATTGCCCGAGGATTTCTTCCTGTGTTTCATCCTCCATGCCTATTTAGAAACAAGAAAGAACTCTGTAAATACACGTAATGAGAGTACAAGTGTTGAGTACTTTTAATAAAACAATATCACAGGAATGTTATTGGTGTAAAAGGAAAGTTTGAGACTCTGTGTCTGTCTAACTGGCTTTTTTCATGTAAATGCCTTTAGTGCAGACATGGCCTACATTAAGCCTCCACCCAGATAGAATTACTCTGTCACAGGAATTGTCCTTAGAAAATCTTTTTTCAGTAAAGTCTTAAGATTCTGTGCCTAGAAAACGGTCTCCTAAAGTTGACTGTATACTGATATACAGCTCTATGAAATAAGACACGTTCGTGCACAAACTGTACTGAGATGATGACACTCTGGCAATGGCAAGAGACATCCCGGAGTTTCACGTTTCCTCTTCTCTTTACACACCCAATTCAGCTCGTGAAGTAATTGTCAAGCTCTCAATAAGTTAGGTTTTTTGAAAGCAGGAAAAACCTGAAACTCTTCAGGGCTGAGAAACCATGATGTAATTAAAGCAGCTAAAGGAAAAATCCACTCACAATACTGTGCATATTAATTATTAACATCTTCAATGGCATCCAAGTTTTATTTTGCTATGAAATTCTTTTTAGTTAAAATTTCTATCATCAGCAGGTCTATTTTCACTTTGGTAAACGAGTACTGGTACTGGTGCCAGTGGGAAATAGCTCTTGCTTCATGTCTACCTGAAGGAAGCAATGCAGCAGCGCTTTAGTCCTTTAGTCAACCACCATCACCGTCTCGTACATCACTAACTTTCCAAGCCAAGTCTCTGTTGTAACTCAGCACAAGTCTGTCATATAGCCACACTGCATTCTGGAGCTTTGAGTCCAATGTCTGCTCTCTCCACTACTTTTACATTAATACTTCATTAAAGGTCAATGGAAGAGGGTGAGTGAGAAAAGAAGCACTAGCTCTTTTGTTTTCGAGCAGCTAACAACAAAACCTGACCTGTATATTTGAGATCATTTATTGTTTTTCTTCTATTAAATGCCATTTTAACTGCGCTAGCAATGTCACTGTGACATCAGGGAAGTAGACAACCTCTAACTTCTCAGGGAAATAAAGAAATTACGGCACCAACCAACACATTAGAACCAGAATTGCTAGGCACATCACAAATATTTCAATAGAAATATACTTAATGTGTGTCAGGGCAGACTTTTCCTTGAAGAACCCTAAATGAGGGACTATCGAGAGCATCCTGAGCAGCTGCATCAGTGCCTGGTTTAGAAATTGTGCCGTGACCCTGCAGCGGATAGTGAGGACAGCTGAGAGGATCATCGGGGTCTCTTTTCCCTCCATCATAGACATTTACACCGCACGCTACATCAAAGCCATCAGCATTGTGGATGACCCCACGCACCCCTCGCACAATCTCTTCACCCTCCTGCTGTCTGGCAAAAGGTACCGAAACATTCGGGCCCTCACAGCCAGACTGTGTAACAGTTTCTTCCATCAGACTCCTCAATACTCAGAGACTGGGCTGACAACACACACACACCCACACACACACAAATTCTGTATTGACCACCTGCATTTCTGCTGCTAACTAGTATGTTATGTTTACATTTACAGCATTTATTATTATACTGTAATATCTTTTTGCACTTTTTTCCACACTAGACCTGTGTACCGGTCGGCGCTGCGCTGTCCTTTACTGTGCCTATTCCCGTTTTTGTAATTATTGTTTAGTAATTCTTGCGTTGTTTGCACACGTGCACTTTATATAGTCCTGTGTGGGTAGTTCTGTGTTGTTTTATGTAGCACCATGGTCCTGAAGGAACGCTGTTTCATTTCACTGTGTACTGTACCAGCTGTATATGCTTGAAATGACAGTAAAGTCACTTGACCACTTGAAATACCCAGAGTGTGTGTGTGTGTGTGTGTGTGTGTGTGTGTGTCCCTAAGGACTGATCTGGGAAACACTGACCAACACTGTTTCTGATTTTGTACAGATCTCTTCAGCTTTATTCTGTTTATATAGTGATGTTATTGTGGAGTTGTTATGCATGGCTTCTGTTTGTTTATCTGTGTGTGTTCTGAGGACTGAACTCCAAAATCTCCAAAAGCCAGCTGAGAAAATATGAGGATCATCAATCACTCTTCCAAAAATCTTATTTAAATAATACCATATGTGTTATACTGTCATGCAGTCTCACTGGAAAAAAAACACACATACACACACTCAACCTGTGTACAACATAATAAACTAATCTGCAGTTTAACAAGCTGAAGTTAACTTAATGAAGCAAGTGCTTTGTCCTTTTGGCCAAAACTGAGGACAAAGCTTATTAAGCTTAAGCTATATATTAGGCTTAGGCTATTCTGTGTATATTGAACAATAGTATACATACATAAAAGACTATCAAAAAGCTCGCTGTGTGCATTTTTAATTCACATAAATTTATTTAAAACGGAGGAGTAAGAACATGTAACTAACCTGGAGGTCGCGACGCGAAACCAGCAACTGTGCCATTTTTTTCAAAATGGCCACTTAGGCTGCATTCCAAACGACTTGCTATTCAACATAGAGTACACTAAATAAGGCGTAGAAGCCATTAGTTTACACCCTGAGTAGTGCACGAATATAGAAAGTAGAATGGCATTTGAAATTCAGCCTTGAAATTTTTCAAAATAAAAGTACAGTGTTTTGAGGAGGTAGTAAAAGATCTGTAGTAAAAGAACTGAGGGTACGAAAATAATTCAAATAATTGTAAAAGGTTTATAATTTTTATATATTACCTATGCATTTTATAGAATCAAATATTTAAAAATTTTCATAGGTTAAAATATTTAAAGCAAGACTCTTTTTTAAGATTTTTATCATAGCGAGGCATCATTTCCTGTTTTGAACACACCCATGTCGTAAATGTTGTGCGCCGGAACTAAAACAGAATTCAAACTGTTGTTAAGAAGTCAAAAGGCTGTTAAACCATTACTAAAGCCGTTAGCTAATGGAATCCATAATCTTGCTAAGCAGGTCTTCATAAGTGCTAACAGATTTTACAGTCCCGATAAGCTAAAAAATATTCATAAGCTAAAAAATGATGTCCGGGGCGTTATAAAGCTATAACCGAGATACACAGTGAAGGAGTAACTGACAGTTGTAATGATGCCAGGCAGTGACGTCAGCGGTCAGTTGCGAGCCAGAGAAGCTTGGTTATCGATTATATCAGACGTCATGAAGGTTTTATGGGAAAGGGAAATGAGGTAATTTTGGACTGGGAGTTGCTTGGTGAGTAACAGCTAGGCTAACGAGCCATTTATTCACTCGAACCTATTTAAAAACATACAAGAAAGGTCGCTGAGTGGTCGTTCAGAGGGCTACAGCTGTGCAGGAAGTGCAGTTACTACAGTAACACTAAGCTAGCTGATAAGAATACACACACTGGTTCCTCACATGCTCAGAAAATAAATGTGCTTGTTTTCAGCTAGTAGGGGAGTGCATGTCGATGCCGCAGGTGACAGGTAGAGAGGATGAGGAGGAGAAGGAGAGAGGAAGAGATGAAGTGTGTTTAAAAGAAGAGGAGTGTCACAGCAACAGCACTGACACTCCTCACTCCACACAGCTAGGGTGAGTAACTGTCATTAACTTTACTTCAACCCTTTACTTACAGATTCTGATTGTAATGTTGACCGAAGTTGATTATGTTCTAGCTTTTTTTTTCTTTTACTGTGTCAGTGTTTACAGGTTGTTTGATGGTAGGCAGTGGTAGATCCATTCACCACAGCGGATAATTGGTCCGCATATTTGATTTGGCACAGTTATTACACTGGATGCCCTTCCTGATGCAATCCTCCTCAGCCTTATCAAGGCTTGGGACTTGTTGTTGGGTTGGTTCCCTGGCCAGGTATCGAACCCAGGCCATGCCGGTGAAAGCGCCGTGGCCTAACCACTAGTCCTCCAGTTACCCATTGGCATATCCATACTAAATTATCATATCACATGAAACTAGTTATCTTTTACCACTCCCCATGATCCAGCTTTTATGTACACAAGGCATATAATGGACACATTTTGTTTATCAGAAGATAGTTGTGCGATGCATATCAGCAATAGAGTGCATTAAAATAGTCAGTTAATTACGGAATAAAACACGATAAGGAAGTGCTGTTGTAGGAAAACAATCAGTGATGAAGCAGTTTGCCAATGATTATAATTTTATAATTGAATACAGAATGGCAAGTCACAACCACAAAACAAATGAGTTCCTGTTATCAGTTATAACAGTTATAAACAAATGTTCCCTCACCCGCGTCTCTTTTTTCTTAATAAGACAAAAAATGTCACCACAAGATGCAAAGTCCTCTGTCCTGAAGACTCTCCTGCAGCAGAAAACTTAAAGAAATAGCTTTACTTTGAAACACTGACATGGACTTAATTCTTTTTTCATAAATAATCATAACTAATCATCTCTTTACAGAAGGCTTTACCTGAGGGTTTGTATGTTTTCATTGGTAAATGACAACCCTTTTTTAAAAAAAGAAAGAAAGAAAGAAATTTGCTTTATTGTTAAGCTTAAATTATGTATGTCTTTCATGCAAGTCCATGTGAATGAGTTATTAGTATGGAAATTATAATATATTAGAATGAGCGGATTAATTTGCCTACAGCTGACACTACTCCAGAGCCATGCAGTTTTAGAAAATTAATCAATACATTCTGACCAATCAGAATCAAGAATTCAACAGTGCCATGGTATAATGATGTTTATAATGCTTCATTTATAAATCTCTATCTTCATGATTTGAAATCCAAGTAACTTTGGATACAGCATCCAGGCTTGGGACTGGCACTGGAAGTGCACTGTCCTGCTGTAGGTGTGTGTTCTTTTTGCTTTTATAGTTGTGAATCGTCTTCACAGGTTAAACTTGAGGCAATGTGGTAGCACCCCAGAGATGAGTCCTTCCCCTTCTGGCTTACTGTCTCTGCCGTGGGAGATGGTTGCACGCATAGCCTCTCACCTGCCCGCTCAGTGTGTCATCAACGTCCTGCCTCAGGTGAGCTAGTAGTGTGAGGTTTAGTAGTAGGAATGTCATGTAAACTTTTTAGCCTGGACTTGTACCGTGTACCGTTTCTTCTTTGACTGCAATTCATGTTGGATTTAGATGATATGCCAACGCAATGGTGGACAACGCTGCTCCTCATCACTCCTCATCAACCACTTCCTGAGAAATATCATTGGATCATTGGTCCAAATATTTGATTTGGCACAGTTTTACGCCGGATGCCCTTCCTCACGCAACCCTCCTCATTTTTATCCAGGCTTGGGACCAGCACTGGCATTTCACTGTCGTGTGCAACCCCAGTGGCTGGAGTTGGTTCCCTGGCCGGGAATCGAACCTGGGCCATGGCAGTGAGAGCACCATGACCTAACCACTAGTCCTCCAGAGACCCTGAGAAATATCATTCAATAACTTCTGTAAATATATTAGGGCTGCACGATATTGAAGAAAAGTGATAACTTGTTAAACAATGTGATATGTGGTACTATAATACTATAAGTGTGTGAAATCAATTTAAATTATATTTATATATATTTATATATAAAAACTGGAAGTGACATAACCAACATACATGTTTCATGTTATTTTGAGGAAAAGAAAGCATTCCCGGCTATCTGCATCACCCTAAAACTTTGACTTTTCGTAACTTTTTGAAGTGTTAAAATCATTCAGTTATCGCAAGCCCTTGCATATTGCGATATTTACATTTGCGATATTTCGATAATTTCGATATATTGTGCAGCTCTAAAATGTATTTATCATATATTAAAACAATGGGAACGATATTTATGTACAAGGAATTCTTATGAGTAGGAGAAGGTAACTGTCAGATTGAAATAAAAAAAAAGTCAGATTGAAATAATAAAAAAACTGAAATAATAGATTCTTTATTTGCTTGCATGGGCGTGGGCGGGGTTAATATGTGTACCATAGTCGGCCACTAGAGGGCAGCAGGAACACTGGCTTTATTTTTTAACAGTTCATGTTGTCCACCATACTGTACAATATAAAAACAAATCTATAGTACACCTTTTGATTTTAAATCAAGTAAAATTCTCCTAAATGGCCAACACACTGAGAGCTTCATACATGTTGCCATGCAAGTGTAGTTTAGTGTAGGTGTAAATTTTTTATATTATATTTCTACATTGTTGATCTTAAATTGTTAATTTCACATTTTCAGTTCATTACTCATACATTTTTTACTGTGGTATACTTTTCCGCATTTTCTCCCCAATTTGGTCGTTTGCCAATTCCCCTATCATACGTCAGCTACCAACCAGGAAGAGTGAAGGGTAAAGTGCTTCTTTGAAGACGCGTAAAGCCAACCATCACACTTCTCAAACTGCTGCTCATGCTGCGTAACACACTCATAGGAAAGCCCTAACTGCCTTCTACATGAGCTCACAGATACCCACGATTGGCTAGTGTCACTTTGATTGACAGGGTGAGAGAGTAATGCCAACCCTCCCACCCAGAGAACACTGCCAATTTTGTTCTCTAGACTCCCGGCTACGAGCGGCTGTGGCATCATCACGAATCAAATATGTGATTTCTTGGCAATAGGCCAAATACTTTTCTGTTGCACCACTCAGGAGCCTTCTTACTGTATGCTTTTAGAACTCTGAGATCTCTGTCAGGTCAGTTATTGATCAGTTGATTTAAAATTGACCCTGTGTCTCGTTTACTTTTTAGGTGTGCAGGGCGTTGGGACAGGTGGGTGAGGACATGTCAGCCTGGCAGCTCCGGGCTCAGCGACTTACAGGCCCCCAAAGTTCCTTCCCAGTTGGGCCGAGGAATCATTTCGATTGGCCCAAAGCGTGCCTTGAGATGGAACAGTTGATTGAATGCTGGGCAAGGCAAGAAGAAAAAGCAGAGCCAGAGCGAGGGATTGAGATACAGGAGGAAGTGGGTCAGGTTGAAGCTGTTGCAGGAGGAGGAGCAGGAGCAGGACAAGAAGGAGATGCAGTAGCGAATGGAGAAGCACATGAAGCGGATGCAGAGAGACAGCCAGGCCCTGCTGGGGAGGAAATCAGACCAGAAGATGAAGAGGGTCCTGAAAGACATGCAGAAGAAGAAGAGCAGGAAAATAATGTAATACTCATCAGAGAAGAGGGAAGAGAGAATGCTGCCATTCAGGACGAACACAATCAAGAACGACTCCAAGATGGACACCTGGAGCAAGAAGACAGTGGGTATGTGCTATAACATTTTGTTGTGAAAAGAAGTTTTTTGTCACAGTTTCCTAAGTTAGTAGGGAAAAAACAACCTGTGGCAAACTGTGCATTTCAGATCTTCATTCAGTGGCACTAGGATGTGAAAGTCAACAGATCACAGTGTAGACATGATACATTAAAGAGCTTTAACATGCAACCATGTTCAATTAAAAAGAGGCTTTTGGTTTTCAGCATTTAAATGAACGTGCTAAAGGGCTAGTTTGCTCACATGAATCTTACGGTTTGCACTCAAGGCTTTTAAAATGATTCAACTGCACTTATACCACCTTCTGAATGTAACATAGAAGTGTTCATGACAACAATATCTTAACTATTACATCTTTGGTTTATTCCTGTGTAAATGAGTGAATGAATAATGAATGAATGACTTTGGCAGAACTGGGATCTGAAGTCACAACTTTCTGATATATTTGCTGATATAAAAGAATCTCTCTCTCGTTCAGGATGAATGTAAAGACGGACCCCACACCTGCCCTGGAGCACATCACGCTCTCCTTGGGCCACATTGCTGATGTTAACACAGTCCTGCTGGTTGGAGGTGAGGGCTCTGTGTGTGTCTCCGGCTCCAGAGACCGTAATGTGAACCTGTGGGATGTGAGAAGGGGCTCGAGCGGGGTGCTGCTGGGCACACTGGGAGCTCGCGGCCGCTACAACAGCACACACCAAGGCTGGGTGTGGTGCCTTGCAGCCAGCAGTGATCTCCTGGCCTCTGGCTCCTTCGACAGCACAGTGAAGCTCTGGGATCTGAATGCCGGAGGGGCAGAGCGGGGAAAGATCCAGAGCCGCGCGGCCGTGCTCTCTCTCTCATGCCAAGATCACATGCTGTTTGCTGGGTCACATGACCAGAAAGTCAGCATTTATGACACCAGAGGTCAGTGGTCTAAAGTTGTATCCTGTATACAGGATTGGTTTACCTACTGGGGAAAAATGGCCATAAAATAAAAAAAGTGTAAAAAAGTGTTTATAAAGTGTTTATATTTAATAGCGGGAAAAGTAAGAAGTTCAGTATTTAAGAGTTCAGTGGCTTGGTCAGTTTTCTAAAGATGCCTATACAATGGGGCATGAGAAGTCTGCAACTGCTCATTTTTGTAATTGCAGCCCAAAAGTTCAAAGTTCAAAGTGAAGTCCTCTCTTTTAATTTAACAAATGGCAATGATGTTGATGAGAAACTCAGCCTGGATTGTCAAGCAAAATGCATTTATATACTATATGGCCAAAAGTATGCAGACACCTGACCATCACACACATGTGCTTCTTGAACATCCTATTCCAGATTTAGTTCCCCTTTGCTGTTATAATAACCTCCACTCTTCAGGGAAGGCTTTCCACTAGATTTTGGAACGTGGCTGTGGGAATTTTGCTCATTCAGCTACAAGAGCATTAGTGAGATCAGGCAGTTCATCCTAAAGGTGTTCAGTAGGGTTGAGGTCAGGGCTCTGTGCAGGCCACTCGAGTTCTTCCACACCAAATTTAGCAAACCATGTCTTCATGGAGCTCGCTTTTTGTGCACAGGGGCATTGTCATGCTGGAACAGGTTTGGGCCTCTTAGTTCCAGTGGAGGGAAATTGTAAAGCTACAGCATACAAAGATATTCTATACAATTGTGTGCTTCCAGCTTTGTGGCAACAGTTTGGGGAAGAACCACATATGGGTGTGATGGTCAGGTG